TAATTCGAGTGCAGCTGCGGGTTAGAAGTTCAAAGACTCCTCATTCAGATCACCCATGATTTGGCAGAAATTCTTTGAACTGCATAGAAGAAAGGCGGGGGAAAAATTGTGAAATTTTCATTGGTGAGAAGATTTCTTTTTTGGTGTACGCACCAAATGCGATTTGATGTGGATGAAAATCGGAAGCGTTTTCGAAAAATATATACTTTTCTCTAATGAACAGTATAAAAAACTTGCTGTCAAAGTCCGACCCAGTGCCAAAAAAGTGCGTTTGAAAGTGAAATTTCCAAAAGTGCCCGGGAACTTTCTTTATAACCTAATACTTTTGCATGTTTTACAACAATTTTTTCGTTTTGGGCATTTTCAGAATTCAATGTTCACTCTCTTCAGTATGAACTTAAACCAAATTTCATAGAGTTGTTTATAAACTTTTTAAATTTTATAATACAAAATTCAATTACTGACTTTCGACTCAATCCGTCTGCTATTATGCATAATACTTCTTATGCGGACCCTGAGACAATAAATGTTGAAGTTTTGAAACTCATAAAATTCAATGTGCTTCAGCTTGGGAAGGCATGACTTTCTCTATCCAGAAACCTAGCGATGGGACTTTGAGAAATCTTGATTGTAAGAAAAGGTATTTGAGATGGTCATAAGCTACTTGTTTATTTTCTTTCTGTTCCTTCTAGCCAATGTTTAAAAAAATTAGATGTAAAAACTCTCGGACACAAATGCCATCCCATGTGAATTATGGAATAACCACAAGGCCCTAAATACGAATTCATGCTCATAAAAACAATTACGGTTTTTTCATCGAGACTTTTATTCGAACAAAAAAAAACGCAAACCCAAATTTCGCGAAAAAATTTCTTTAAATTGAGCCCTTGAGTGCTACACGTAAAATCAATAGAAGCAGAAAAGATGCTTGAAATCTACCACTATAAAATACGCACAGTAGGGACAGAGCCTTCGAATCAACAAAAATTATATTTGGAAATTTATAAAATATGGAGTCTAGATGTCAGTGAATTTCTTCTGGATCAATGAAAAAGCTGCTCTGGTATGGATTTTACGCTCTTTGGGATTTTTTCCAGCATCAGTTATTTTTTCAATTTCTTCCTGCAAACTGTACAACAATGGTATTTTTTCATGATTTATTGACACTTTTGAGAACTACGATTTTTTCAATGGTACATAAACATATTTAGTGTATCGAACAGGTACTGCTACCACTGGACGAATGATTTGAGGTTCCTCCTCGACAATCACCGGTGCTGATTGAACTCTAACGACTGGACGAACGACAGTCTGGTAGACTGGTGGTGATTGGTACACAACTGGAGCTGGTTGATAATAGTTGTAATAGTTGTACACTGGATAGGTGTACTGATATGCTGGGTAAGCATAACCACCGTAACCGCCATAACTGTAACCACCGCCACCGCCGCATGGATACAGTGGCCAACATGGCCAAAATGTCTGGTGCGTCTGTGGAATTGCGATTGCCTAAAAATAAAAAATGGAGAGAGGGG